GTGGAGCCGTCACTCCGTGCTGGGGTCGTCGCTTCCATACATTTGTCGGTTCTTAGGAGGAGGAGGAGGAGGAGGAGGAGGAGGAGGAGGAGGAGGAGGAGGAGGAGGAGGAGGAGGAGGAGGAGGAGGAGGAGGAGGAGGAGGGAGGAGGAGGAGGAGGAGGAGGAGGAGGAGGAGGAGGAGGAGGAGGAGGAGGTGGGGGCTGGGCTGGCTGCGGGGTGGGGCGACGGATTATGGAGCCCACAGGGCGGGGGTCACGGCGGGCCCCAAGGGGGGGGGGGCTGGCACGCAGACTTTGCAGTCCGCGGGTGTTGGGGATGCTGCCTCGACGAGGGTCGATGCCATGTCGCTGCAGTGCTTCCTGGGGGCGCCTCTGCGCCCCCTGGGGGATGAGGTGGTCTTCGAGGCCAGCTGGCGCCTGTTCGGGCCCCATGAGGCACGACGTGCGTGAGGGGTGTGTCGAGTTGAGGCAGCTGGAAGCCGTCTCGGAGGCCAGCTGAACGCCCAACATGCGCGAAGTGCGTGAGGGGTGTGCGGAATTGAGGTTCCCTTCAAACTGGAAAGACAACTCACAAGTATTCTTACGTCTCCCAGGAGTCTCGAGGCCCCAAGCACTTGCTTTCTACGTGTCCCAGGAGCCTGAGAGCGCGGACCACGCGTATCCTGGCGAGGGCGTCCCGAGCGAATCGGCAGTGGTTGACAGTCAGAGTCCCTTCCGAAGCCGATGTGTCAAGGATGTCCAGAGCGAAACGGATATTGGGGGCCATCGGGGCATGTTTCATTTGTATTTTTATAGGCCCCGGGAGGCTGGGCCGTCGGAGTGCCCGAAGGCCCTCCCAGCATGCCTCATGCATGCCATCTCATTCTCTTCCATTTCAGCATCATCGACATCATAACCATCACCAGCAGCAGCATCATCATCACCATCACCATCACCACCATCATCATCATCATCATCATCATCATCATCATCATCATCATCATAACCATCCTCAGCATCATCCTCCTCCTCCTCCTCACCATCATCATCATTAGCACCACCACCTCCATCATCATCATCATTATCAGCATTTCATCATCATCACCGCACCACCATCATCACCATCATCATCATCATCATCATCATCATCATCATCATCATCATCATCATCATCATCATCATCATCTTCATCGCCGTCATCACCATTATCACCATACTCGTCATCATCGTCGTCATCATCATCATCGTCGCCGTCATCAGCATTATCATCGTAATCAACATCATCATCATCGTCATTACTATCACCACCGCCACCTCCATACTCATCATCAGCATCACCATCAGCATCGTCATCGCTATCACCGTCATCACCACCACCATCATCGTCGTCACCATCACCATCATCACCATCATCATCATCAGCATCATCATCAACACCATCATCACCATCAGCATCAGCATCATCATCATCATCACCGTTAGCATCACCACCACCAACACCAGCACCATCATCATCACCATCATCATCATCGTCATCACCATCCACCCAAGCATTATTAGCATCATCGTCATCAGCACCTTTATCATAAGCATCAGCATCACCATCATCATCACCATCATCAACACCATCACCATTACCATCACCATCACCATCACCATTATCATAACTATCATTATCGTCACCTTCATCATCATCATCAGCATCATCATCATTATTACTATTCTTCTTCTTCTTCTTATTAAAATTATTATTATCATAATCATAATCATCATTACCACCACCATCATCATTATCATCACCATCACCATCACCATCACCATCACCATCACCATCACCATCATCATCATCATCATCATCATCATCATCATCATCATCATCATCATCTTCATCTTCATCTTCATCTTCATCTTCATCTGCATCTTCATCTTCATCTTCATCTTCATCATCATCATCATCATCATCATCATCATCATCATCATCATCTACCCTCGGATGTTACAACACGGCCAGTGCCCGCAAGGGGGCCCGCCAAAGTCAACAGTTTCGCTCGTTCCTTCGGCCCATACTATATTATCGATGGCTTTTGCCTGTGGGCTCGCGGGGGCTGAGAAGGCGTTGGGTGGCGGTGGTTTCTCTAAACTGTCGCGTGAATCTCACTTGGGGGAGAAGCAGCGGCGGGGTGGTTGCAAGGCAACGCTCAACGCAGCATGCCACCAGCGAAGTTCCTTCCGGGTTCTCGTGGGATGTCTCTCGGGGGCCTCTTGGAGGCTTGTTTGGGGCCTCCTGGGGCCTCTTGGAGCCTCTTGGGGGCTTCTTTGGGGCCTGTGGGGGCTTCTGGGAGCTTCTCCGAGGCTTCTTGGGAGCCTATTGGGGCCTCTTTGGGCCTCTTCGGGGGCCTGCTGGCGGTTTCGGAGGCCCTCGTGGAAGCCTCTCGGGCCGTCTTGGGGCCAACTTGGGCCGTCTTGGAGCGCTCTTGGGGGCCTGGGGGGCCGTCATGGAGCAGTTTCAGTTGTCTCTTAGGCCGTCTTGGGCGGTCGGCAGTCCGGAGAATCGAGAACGTTTGGGCTGTGTGGGGGGTGGGGAGGGACGATTGATTTTTGCGATGTTGTGGAGGAGGAGGGAGAGGAGGATAAGGAGGGGGAGGAGGGTAACTATTGCATCGTGCTGTTTCCCTCGATCCCTCTTTCTATTGCGTCGTGCTGCGCACTCGTCGGGATCAGCCCCCCCCACTGGATGGTTAAGTCACAGGAGAAGGAGGGTAACTGCTGACAGCACGAGTACGAGAGGTGATGGGCGGCGAGAGCGTGAGCATCGCACGACAGGCCTCGGTCTTCCAGCTGCGCACTGCCAGCGAAAGCAGGCAGCAGTTCGTAGGCCCGTGAAGCGGGAGACACGGCGGGCCCACAGGGGCGACGGCTCCAAGGCTCGCAGCCAGTTGGCATGGACGCACGTGTGTGGCTGCGCACTGGTGCCCGGAGCCTCTGTGGGGCCGTTCAGGACCTGCTTGCCCTCGAGGGGCCTCCTGAGGCCTCTCGAGGCGATGCCGGCGTCCCTGCAGTGATGTTCTTTGGGTCCGCTGCGGGGGGGGGTCTTGGGGCCGTGTGCGAGTCCTGGGCCGTCTTGGGGCAGTCTAGGAACCATCTCGGAGCCATGCTGGAGGCGCTTTTTTGGTCCGCTCTGGATGTCCGCTGGGAGCCAGCAGGTCCGATGCGCAGAAAAAACATGAGCGGCCCGTTTTTGGCTATTTTCGGTCTCGGGGGGGCCCTCAACTGCCCCTGGGTATTCAAGATGAAAACGGGCCATTGGGGAAGTGCTCCAGACCTCCAGTGGGCCACGCATCGAAAATATATAGAGCGCCGGATGTCTGTGTCGGGGGCATCGTGAGGGGCTCTGGGGCCGTCTTGGTTTCCGGAGGCCTCCTGAGCTGCAGCCCATGCGGGGACACATATGCAACAGTTTAGGAACAAGCCGCCACACAGGCGAGTTTTCTGGCTTGGGCTCTCGAGAGCCCTCTGCGGCGCCATCTTGGAACTTCTGGTGTCTTCCTGTGGCCACACGGTGTCATTTTTCAGCTTCCTATGGGCAATCGCAGAGCTCACTCGGGCCAGGCATGGCCTTCTGGGGGACAATTTTTGGGCGATCGTGATTCGTGCCGATGGCGTCGACCGCCCAGGACCACTTCGGAAGGTTCTGAGGCTCAGAGAGTGCGTTTGGGAGCTCGTCTCATTCTCCCCCTCAATACTGGATTTTGGACGGGGGACAGGCGAGGGGAGGGGACATCCAACCACTTCTCACGCCCTCTCACCACTGGCAAGGAGTTCGGCGGATGTCCCAGCAGTGCCGTTGATATGATGCATATGTGTGTGTCTGCGTGTGTGTGTGTGTGTTTGTGTGTGTGTGTGTGTGTGTGCATGCGTGCGTGCGTGCGTGCGTGCGTGCGTGCGTGCGTGCGTGTGTGTGTGTGTGTGTGTGTGTGTGTGTGTGTGTGTGTGTGTGTGTGCGTGTGTTCGAATTGGTCTTGCAGAGGGCAGCGGCTGACGTTAAGTTGGATTTGCGCTCGGGGTGCATAGCTTGAACTGCCACTGCGGGTTTTGCTGCGGTGGCTCGAATCGTGGGTCGCTTGATGAACACGGTATTCCAATTATCTTCCATGGCACTCCATTTTCTGCTTGAAGTGGCAGGGCTTCCATTGCTTTCTGGTCTTCACGAACCAGACCACGATCGAGTTTCACAGCAACATGGGCAGCAAGTCTCGCGCGAAGCGCAGTGGGCACGTTTTTAGGAGTCGCCAGCCAGTGGCGCTAACGATCGACGATTGTTCGAATGCTTCTGCTCGGCGCGGATGCTGTAGATGGTATTGCTTATGTATGGCTGGCGGTAGTGGTCTTGCCAGTCCCCGCAGCGGGGGGCGTCCGCGCCATGAGCGTCAATTTAGCCATTGGCGCTCCCGTGTATTCGGCTGTGCGGCTGCTCTTTTTGTTCTTTTTATTTTACGGCTGCTTTTCTGGGCTGCTGAGGGAATGGCTGAAGCTAGTAGTGCTACTCGTGTGGCGCTCGATCGCAGGGTCGGCTCAGCCTGGGCATTCGAAAACCATTCGGTGTTCGTTCTGGCAGATCGCGTAATCGTGATCGCCATCAAGAAGGCATGGTCAGATTGATCGGGGCAAGGTGTGAGTGGCGACGCAATCAATTCTCGCTTGCACGTCCATCATTTTCAGTATCCAGAGGAGCATAAACGGGCCTCCAGCTAGCCAACATATTTGAACTCAGCTCTTTGTCCTGTGTACGCTTGTTGACGTCAAAGCTAGCCATTTACATCTGAAACATGAGCGATGCGCGTAGCTTTAAAGGTATCGCTTGGTGTGTTCTTATTTGATCCTTTTGCAACTCAGGAAAACCGTCGTCTACCGCGAGTTGTGTTGCGTTAGCATGACTGCGTACATGAATTGCGTTGACACTTCCGATCTTACGCCCAATATCATCCTTGTACCGATGCGCTAAGGTGTTTGTCTGTATGTGCATGATCATGTTGCGTAGTCCACCAGCAGAGTGCACTGGCACAGTTGTCACTGAAAGTTGCATGTGGAGTCTCACTGTGTGCAATTGTGCTTCATTTCTTGGTATCCCTGGACACTGTGCAGTCCACATGTTCGCAGAACCTCGCTGTGGCTATTGTTGTCACCACAGTGGTTGTGACAATTAGGTGCTGCGCTGTTCCGGTATGAGACTGCCCTTCTCTTCTTGTGCCTCGGTGACGGGGATGAGTGTGAGCCGAGGAACCCATACGACCTTGGCCGAATACGAAATTTCCAGCAGGTGTGGACCAACATGTTGACTTTCTTGTTGCGCCCTGATTTCATCTCTTCTCTGCCCTCGCCCATCGCTGTGGTATGGGTGGTCAGGATGTGGAGTGTGGAGGAGGCCCGAGGAGGAGGATGAGGATGAGGATGAGGAGGAGGATCGTCCTGGCGCTGCGCCAGCTTGCATCATGAGACTCTGTCGGCAAACCATCACGCAGCTTGTCTCCGTGACCAGCACAGCATGTGTTGCTTCTATCTGTGATTCCAATGGGTTGACCACCGATAGGTCTTCGGTCCCAATCCGCTCTGCAAGCTCTCGTGGGCCATGCCGTACTTGGCAAGGCGCGGCGGTATCTCGCTCTTGCGGTGCTGGTCTGCGCGCAGGTCGTGTGCAATCTATTCATTCTGTTTTGCTTTGAGCCACGTTGCTTGTACAGTCCAAGCCAGCGTTGGAATGAGGAGCCTTTGAGACAAGGGGCCCTGGCATCCCCCGATCCCGAGCATCCTTTGCGTGAGGCTTGCTTCCTCGGTCTAAGGGTACCCCAGCACCTTGGTGCTTTCTAGGTGCCAGGCATCCTCGTACTCATCGTCATGTCGGGCGGCATGTTCGTTAGACGATTGGGCGCCACGATGCTGTCATCATTCATGATTGGAGGCGAACAGTGGCGCGCTGTGCGCGCGTTTTGAACGGGCATGGAGATACGTCGATTGTCCTTTGTCGAGTGAGCGGACGCACGTGGCGAGTTTATGGCTGAGAGTACCTGCTCATTCGAGTGTTCTTTCCCTCTCGGGTTCGCCAGTTAGCACCGCCGTCTCTCGCGCAATGATGCAGCCAGATGTTGAGCAAGTTTGAGCACGCCAGGAAGGAAGGAGGCCCGAACGTGATCAACGAGGGCGGAGGTGGAGCCGGAGGAGGTATCTCTTGTGGAGGAAGAGGAGGACAAGGATGACGATGCTGCAGCTGCTGATGAGGAGGGAGAGGATAATGATGATGAGGATGATGATGCCAAGGATGATAGTGAGGACGAGAACGAGGATGAGGAGGAGGAGGAAAAGGAGGAGGAGGAGGAGCAGGAGGAGGAGGAGGAGGAGGAGGAGGAGGGAACGAAGTAGGGCTTCACGTCTGGTCTCGCGGTGGTGCCGAGAAGGCCCCCTGCTGGCGACGGCATGTCGTTCCCGACGCTCTCGGACTTCAACATCTGATGGGGGGTTGCTGGAAGTTCGTCCCCACCTCACCACGCACACACCCATCCCTCCCCGAGAGCGACATCTCCAGTGACCCACCGCCGCCCCCAGCTCACCCTTGTCCCGCCCTTCCATCCCCTCCCCTCCCCTTCCCTTCCCTCTCCTCCCCTTCCCTCCTCTCCCCTCTCTGTTCCTTTTACTGTCGCCTTTCCCTCCATCCCCTCTTTCACTCTCCTGCCACCCTCCCTACCTCCCTGCCCCGCTTCCGTCCCTTCCCTCTTCTCCCCCGTCTCCTCGCGCTCCTCTGCCTCTCCTCCACTCCTCTCTCGCTCCCTCCCCCCTTCCCTCCCTCCCCTCTCCTCCCACCCTCCCTCCCTCCCTCCCTCCCTCCCTCCTCCCTCCCTCTTCCCGCCCTCCCTCCCTCCTCCCTCCTGCCTCCCTACCCCCTTCCTCCTCCCTCGCCGCCTCTCGCTCCTCCTCTCTCTCTCCTCCCTCTGCTGGCCCCTCCGAAGAGAGAGAGAGAGAGAGAGAGAGAAAAAAAAAAGAGAGTGCACTGCACCGTTTCGCACAGGTGTCTGTCCTAGCTCGCCGGGCACGAACGCCAGCTGGGCCACCACACCTCTTTAGGGCGGGAGGGGCCGCACGCTTGTGGAAGGTTTCTTGTGAACTGGCCTCCACTGTATGTGTGCGTCGCCCTCCCCAGGGGCGACGCGCGCACCGAGAAATCTTACATACTATATGCGTCGTGGTAGGCGCTTTCTGGCCGTACCGCTCGGGAAACGATATACCAGACGATTTGCGTACTATATGTTCGGATCGGACGCAGGCCTCCGAGGGGAACCCACACGCAATACTAGTATGTCATTGTGAGCCCCAGAGAGGACACCGACTGGGAAACAGAGACGGGATGTAGAGATAAGGGCGAGGCTCACCACTTCTGCACCCCCGTGAGCAGAGAGGCACCGGATTTGACCAGCGCCTTTCGGCGTGCGCGCCACGGAGCCCCGAGAAGCGAAGGCGCCGCCTTAGGGCATCCCCGTCGGCGGCCCCGTGCCTGCTCTGCGGGACTGGTTGCCAGATGTTCGCGCAGCGTGCGGCAGCGTGGGGTGAAGACGCCGCGTGCAAGCGGCCCCACCCGACGGGGGGGTGGCAGGGGCCTCCCCGCGCGAGCCCGCGTGCGACGGGGCCCCTAGCCTCAGCTCTCAGCGGCCAAGCAGGCACGGCCGCCCCCGGCTCCGCCTGGCCCCCCCGCGCCGGAGGTACCAAGAGGCACCCGCCAGCGACGGGGGCCAGGCAGGAACAGGGGAGGTGCAGGGGCCCCGCCACCCCTCGGCGCACGAGGGGGTTTACACCCCCCTGTGGGGGGGGGCCGACTGCGGAAAACGCGAGAAGGCCTCGGTGCGAAAGGAAGAAAAGCCGGGCCCCTAGTCGCAGCCTGCACACGGAGCGTATCCAGGGGCCCTCACGACGAAGCCAAAGATATCCCGCATGGACCGGTCCTGACCCTGCGCGGGCAATTCACCCGGTGGCGCACACCCAGAGGAGGCAAACGGGGGACGGCAGTGGAAGCCGGTGATCATGGCAGCGGCGCCGAGAGGCCTGCATGGAGCATGGGGTATGTGCCCCGAATAGGGCACAGGCCGTCGGTCAGTCTACAGACGGCGTCGGAGTGCAGGTTCGGACGAAGACGTCGTCGTCGTGGTACGTCGAGCCTCAGCGGGGCCGTGGTGAGGCGTCTGCAGAAGCCGTGTATGACCATCACGCCTGTGGCGCCATGGTTGGCGCCGGTTGGCGCTGGGGGGTGTTGTCAAGGCAGAAAGTGAAGGCGTAGAAACCGTATGCCAGAGTCAGTCGCGTGGTCCCAGGCAGGGCACGTGGCAGGGAGCGCAGTGCTCGTGCTCTAGGCCTCCTAGATGGGGTCGGAGTAGATGGGGTCGGAGGATCGCGCCGCATCGCCGATGCATCGTCGATGCGCTTCGATGCGGAGCCCGACGAACGCCAACGTCGGAGACATGTTTCCGACATCGGCGATGCATCGCCGGTGCATCGTCAATGCATCGGCGACGCATCGGCGATGCATTGGCGAGGCGGTGCGATCCTTCGACCCCATCTACTCGGACCCCATCTAGGAGGCCTTTACGTGCGCGCATTGTTTGATGCACTGGTCTGCTGTCAGCGCGTCGGCCCAGGTGGGAGGCCTTCTGCCGCAGTCCCCGGAGCCCGAGGGCGGGACCGAGGTCGGTAGCCGACTTGGGGGTGGATCAGGTAGGCGGCGAGCGCCCAAGTCGAGATGGCGCGACGGCCTGGTGAGAACGGCGGCCGTCGGGGGCCGTGGAGGGGCTCTGGCTTGGCATACGGCGGATTCACGGTTGCTGGCGGGACGGCCTGGTGGTCTCCGCATCCTCCTCCTCCGCCTCCTCTTCCTCCTCCTCCTCCTCCTCCTCCTGCTCCGCCTCCTCCTCCTCCTCCTCCGCCTCCTCCTCCTCCTCCTCC